GGGTTTAGGGTTTGGGGCTTAGCTAGTTGGGATTGAGGGACATGGATCCCCACATGGCCAATTCCGCCCTTACCAGCCAAGCATCGTTAAGTCGAGGGAAGATCAGACATACGCGTGTAAAGACAAAATCTATGGACTTGCGCAAGCTCCCTCCAATTTGAACAGACTCGTCCCAAACGTTGAAGGTTAGTCGACTCCTCACGTAACAGCAGTCCCAACCACGCCCATAGTAGGTGTAACTAGGGGCTAAGTTTTTACTACTACGTGATTAGGGGATTGCTTTCTGAGTTCCGCAGTAGGTTCATACTTTTCTTAGCGCCTTGACGTTCGCCAGCAGCCACTCTCTGATGTGCTCGCCTAGCTCCTTTGCTTTCTGTGGAAGCAGTGGTAGTTAATCCAATCCCAGTACTGATGACATTTTCATGCTTTTTGTAATGAGTTCTGGCGGCTTCTCAAAATCTACGGTGCAGGACCCAAGGAATTTTCGAAACTCATATATGGGCCAAAAGAAAAAGGCAGCCAACGGCATCCCGGCTCGGCATCTCTGTCCCAGAAGACGTGCTGAAGCAGAAGCAGGTCGATCTCTGAGACTTCAAATCCACCGCAAGTGTAAGCAGCAACCTCAGGGCCACCCCACTTCACATGAGCTATAGTCTAAACGCCTAGAATTCTGCTTAAGAACGCCTACAGAAGTCCCCTAGATATTCCGCCTTTGAGGAGTTTAGGCTACAGTTCGCATATTGGATCATCGACTCTACAGTAACCCTTGAAAGAATTGATCCGGTGCCAGTAGGGGAGGGACCATCACTCTTGCAGCAGCATAGTAATGCGGGGGCCCCGCGAACTACTGTAATCCACATTGCGCAGACCCCCAAAATAAGGGACCCCCAAATTTTCGGAAACTCCCATTAACAAGGTTCGATGATAAAAGCTGCCTGGAGAAGATGTACAGCCTTCGCGAGGCGGCGGTCAGACAGGATAACGTCTGCTTCCCGGAGGTGCGTTCTCCTGGGTCAAGAAAGATTATGAGGGTTCAGTGCTTCCAGCTGAATTTGATGAATGCTCTTTGTGCCTGCATATGGAGATCAAAAATGTGATGAACAAAGTACCACACCAAACCAGAACAACAAGGAATGACAACCTCAACCCTCATCAAAAAAAGCTGAAACTTCGGGTTTTACTACAATGTACTGGGAGTAACATGCCCTTACATGACTGTAGCATAACATGCCCCGAAGACTCGATTCTGATTTAATCAGGCTCCTACATGCATGATTACAATCCCTAGAGACCAAATTGAACCCTAGCTTCTATTTGCTTTCTGGTTTCCATTTGATTCTCAGTTCTTCTACAATGCATGCCCAAAAATATGCTTCTCTACATACATATCCCTTTATAATCCCTTATAACCCTTACTCTCAATATATTGTATTATACAGCAAGGGGGGGTATTGAATGTAACGGGGGTGGGGTGATTGAATATTAGGTGGGGCGGGTGTTAATGTGGGGGAAGGGGGGGGTTTAAATTGCGGGTGGGGGTGGTGATTAAAATTAGTGGGAGGGAATTACTTAGGCCGAGTCTCAAGGCCGAGAGTTGCTCCAGGAGGCGCTGAGGTACCTGCTCAGTTTCTCAAACGGTTTAGGGTCATGTATAGGAATAAATCGGCTACATATGGGCTATATACGGGTTATATAGGGTCTACATAAGGTTTTTAAACCCAATTTATGTAAGATTAAGGGTTTAGGGATCCGTACCCTAAGGTATCACAATCATATGCGGATAATGAGGTGCCATCGGTATATGGGGAGAGAAAGAGAAATTCTGGTTGCATAGAGATATGTGGGGAGATTCTGAGGGTATCATAGAGATACGGGATAAGTGAGGGTTATAAGTTATAAGGTACCTGGGCAGTATGTGAGAATAGTAATTGAACTCTGTAGAGGTCTCAGTGAGGGCTTGCCTAGGGATTGTTTTGACAAACTCCCATTTCAGAGTTTCTCGGAAGAGCGGCGCCCCCAGGTGTCTGTTGCCGGGGATGGTACCAGGATTGTGCAGATGAGTTACAAGCGTTTTCGAGGCAATCTGTATCACTCAAGGTTTTCGCGTGCAGCTTGACAAGGACGGGCAAGGAATTGCCATGACCCTACACCCTACATGCCCTACACCCGCACAAGCAAAGTCTATTAAGCGAGAACATGGGCGCCTTGACGTGTCGAGATGCCACTCTGCAAGCTTCACGGCAGAGCTTGCAGTCCATGATTTGGCCCTGCTCAGGCTCCGCAGAGGCATTGCAAGGACCCATGCTGACCAGCTCATTGGAGAGGAAGTCATGATATTGACTATCGGAAACCTGTGCGACCACCTTCCTCAAAAGAAAGCGATCATACAAAGCATCCAGCGCGTGGCTCTCGGGCATCTCGTTGGACGCACCCACCATGCACCACAGGGGGACTTCTTGGCGACCGCTCCCATTGTCGAAAACGCGCTCGTTTAATATAGACATGAGCGAATTCAGGATGCTGGGGCTTGCCTTAAAGATTTCATCGAGGAAAGCAACTTCTGCATCTGGGAGATACCCACGGGTTCGTCGGAGCAGCTCATCCTGGTCTTGCAAAGCCTGAAGAGATAAAGGCCCGAAAACTTCCTCTGGTAGGGAGAAGCGTGTCAAAAGACGTTCGAAGTACTGCCCGCCACAAACAGATGTCAAACGCCTGGCCATGATGCTCTTGCCGGTTCCAGGAGGTCCCAGCAAAAGCACGTGTTCACCTTCAGCGCAGCAGTGACAAACAGTGACCAAAGGTGCAATGAGTTGCATGCTGCATTCTCAATGGGCATGTGCAAAAATCTGTCGGACTTTCACTTGCCCAGGTTGCGAATGGGTGTCTAGTTCTTAAGGGGGGGCTTCAGAAACATCAAAATCTACGCAATCAAATCCTGCGCAAGCCTGCGATAGAGGCCAGCAATAGCAACTTGGCTTCCACCACTCGCTCTTTCAGGCCCTTGGTCATTTTGCCAAGCGAACTTGCCAACAGTTGTGGCCACATCTTCGCAGTTGATGAGGGTGCGGGTGCAGTGGCATCCTGGCATTCTCGCAACACTTGACAGATTCGATCTGTAGAGTCAGCATGTCGTCTGGCAGTTGCACCCGGAAGCCGATGGAACACTGCACGTCTCGCATCCTGGCAACAACAGTGTACAACTCTCTCAGACATCCAACCACTTCTGCATACTACTACAAAGGGCTAACGCGACAGTCAAACATGAAGGGTCTTTATGCATCTTTATGCGGTCTCAAGTGTCTGCCATCCTCACACCAAAAGACTCCAGCAAGGCAGCTAGCACCTGAGCGGCACACAGCTCTGCGAAACCTCAAGCTGTTGCACCCTCATCTCATGCACGGGTCTCGGGCGTGTTTTTTTTCAATAAGCATTCTGAGGAAGTAGCTCCTTCAGTCATCCTGCTGCCGTCCAGGCCATATTCCCCCAGGAGTGCCAATGCCAAGTGCTCGATTCTCAGGTCGCCGGTGTGCTGCAACAGTTGCTTCCATCGAGAAGCCTGCTCTAGGATTGGTCTGATGAAGGGGTTATTTTCAGATTGCATAGCTCTTTCTATGTATATATATACATGTATATTCATATATCTAGATTATGTCGGGGTTGTATGGGGATTACAGGTGTTATCTTATAGCGGTTGCAAGGGTTGTGTGGGTCGTGTGTAGGGGCTATATGGAGTTCATGAGTATGTGTTAAAGATGGGTGCCTTGAGGGAACACACAGGGGAAATGCAGTAAGGGTTATGTGGGCTGCTCACCTGCAAGTTCCTTTTTTTTTCAGGCAATGCTGGCTGAGTCCCTGTAGGGGTTTGCAGCCCTTCACATGAAGCAGGTTCTGACCAAGGTTACCAAATGGTCAGGCATTCACCGAACGGTCAGGGGCCTAAAGGATGGCCTCACATTACAAAATGAAGAAACAAAGACCAACACACGAATGGCTTTGCAACACTTGCGTACAAGAGCTCGACGAGATGGCGGAGATGACGCTTCTATGTGCTTCACTCTGAGGGTCGGGGCTCAAAAGCTGTGATGTGTGCGCTTTGCGCTAGATATTGACCGGCCTCCGCCAAAGCTGCTTGCATCCTTTGGCTCAGCGCAAACATCGTGTAGGGTAAAGAAGGTGAAAACGCTTCCGTCAGCTTGTATCCTCGCTTCAAAGCCATCTTGGCGGCAGCCTTCACCATCGCATTCGGCGTGTGACCGCATAGGTCTGTAGCCAAAGATTGGTTTGTCAAGATGCCTAAAACGACAGCTTCCTCGCCAATGAGCAAGTGACCCAGGAGCTGTGACTCCTTCTCGGCAACCTGAAAAGCGTCGTGCAGTTGGGAACTCACCTGCCAGTCTCCTAGCAGCCGAGATTGCTCAGTTTCGGGAGGTTTGTGTGCCGCCTCCGCGGTGCAAGAAACGTCGTCCGGCACCGTCACCAAAGGTAGATCCGGGAATCCTGCCAGCTGAGATTGAATCACAGGGTGGCCGCACAAAGGAATTACAGCAATCGTACTGACAGCACTGATTGCAGTAGGCCAGTACTGCTTCCAGCAAAAACTGTCAACTCAACTGTTTTCCTTGGTCTGGTGACTGGCGTGGCAGGAACGTGAACAAGGACGCGGAGGATGCGCAGCTGCTTCCTTGTCACACAAGTCCCACTTCTTGAAAATGGTACAGGTCCACATGACCGACCCTTAAACAAATGGAACAGTCGATTCCATTTTTTGGGGTACAGGCTCCACACACGTTATCACACGTTCTCCCAGCCTAGATCGTTGTTTTCGGAGGGGATGCGCGAGCTCGTGAGGAATCTGCATCTGAAAAAACCTTTCTGGGATTACGCCGCAACATTTCCCTGAAACTCGGAGAGCGTCCCTCTTGGGCCCCACTAGCCCGCCTCCGGTAGCGCTTTATTGACGCTGTTGGCTCTCTCCAAGACGCTTTTATTTTAAACATCGTTTTGTTGGGTGGGGGGGCGGGGAGAACATCAAAAAATCCTGTACAAAGAGCACGAACAGAAATGCCATGTCACTTCCTACCAGGGGTGCTATCATGCACTCCCTTCATATTACACCATTTCAGTATGGACTTCCCCCGAGAAAGGCCATGGCACCTCTGCAATGCACAAGCCTCGGCTTTCTACCACCTCTGTGTCTTTGTCGCTTTGCGGCGGGCCTCTCAGCGTTGAAGGGGCCAAGCAATATGCAAGCAAACATATGCCCACCTCTAACTAAACCCCTGCTATCAACATAATGAACCGTCTGCAAACCTTCTTTAAACCTTATGGAACCCCTCGATAAGCACTATAAGCTTCTGTAAACGTAATCTAAACCTCGCAATTAAGCCACCAAACCCAGACCACAGGACCAACAGGGCGGGGGATGTTAATCAAATTCTATATAACGGACATTATGAACCATTAGGGGGGGGAAGGGGCGTGGGGCGCAAATGCTGACGCATATATTGGAGATATAGGGTTGCGTAGGAATATTCAAGGATAGGTAGGTTTGGGGTTTCCACAAGTCAGCGGTATTATGCCAATACTGGAGAATCAAACGGACAGGAACATGGAACATGAAATGGGCACGGGCACTGGGCAACAAATAGGGGTCCCATTTCCAAGGCCATCCCAATCATGGGGAGTAAGGTATCTGGGCCCTACACCCTAAAGCAAGCCCCAACCAAAACACCAAAACCCTTTGGGGGGAGAGCCCCTCATTTTCGGACACTCCCATGTTGGCTTCGTGAGAGGCCTCCAGCGCCATGCTGTCCCAGCCAGTGAGGTCACCAAAGCAGCCGTGGCAGGAACAGGCCCGCCTGTGCAAAGCAGCCCTAAGACCTTGCTGGGTTGCTGTTAAGGAACTTAAATTAAATCACTACATTGGGGAAACCCTATTATTTACTATATATACCCATTATGGTAACTTAATTCAAGTTCCTTAACAGCAACCCAGTAGATGCCATGGTGAGCAAGTGGACCAAGGCTTTAGCCTTGCGCGTTCAGCAGTTTCATGGGATAATATAACCCCCATATAACCCCAATATTACCCTAATGGGTACCTCAATAAGTCAGGCTGTTGCATGAGGTTTGACAACGGAGCACAGCGCTTCTCGGGCCTGCTTTGGCTCTAAGTCTATGCGACGTGGAAGTCGGCGATGCCTGCAATTGGCATGCGAACCAATAGGGGATAATGGAAAAGAAAATGGAAACCCTAGATCCCTTTAAAGGGATATATAGGGTTATATAAGGTATATATTATAGGGGTTATATAGGGATAATGGAAAATGAAATCATTGGTCTTTGGAGAGGCGAGCAAGTCCTGTCACTGCCGCTACATGGTAGTTTCCACAAACAGGCTAGGGGGACCCCAATCTGGAGCCCAAATGCTATAGTTCTTGCTGCAGGAACCCAAACGACAGACCTGTAGTTTTCGGAACCAGTTGTCAAGCACTGAAAATCCCGATGCCCGAGAGCCCACCGGCGCTGCTGGTCGGCAGGTGAGCCGCACCCAGTGAACTTTTTGCCTGGGTGCTCACGCACTCATCTAGCGACTTTCATCTGCAATGTTCTTGTCAACATCTGAAAACCGTAAATCCCAACCCCGAAACCCTAACTCCGAAACCCTAAACCCTGACAGGGGATTTCTGCACTTGCCTGGCAGAAATGTTAAGGGCTTCGGGTTTCGTCTTCAAGGGCACCAGGCATTCGTAACCCGCGGGAGCTTAGGTCTCATGAAGGCCCGTGTACCTGCGGTCAGTCTGCTCAATCTCCAGTTGCCAGACCCATGAGAGGTTCTAGAAAGTGGAACCCTCAGAACTGTAACCCTGTACTAGTGTCTTAGAGGGCTCATTTCTACAAACCCTGAAGGGGGATCTGCTTTCTAGACTCTGCCAAGGTCTGGGTTGCTGCCAGGTTGCATATGGGAAAGTATGGCAATGATGGCGCAGCAATGGGCAGGGAACTAGAGCTGTACACCATCTGGCCATTTAAGGATAGGGTCTGCTTGGATCCGTTCCACTGGAGTTGGACTTTTAGCTGATCTCCACACTAAGCTTTCCTCCCTCTACAGGATTCTGAAACATGAGTTTCTAGGAGTTGGACAGATGCTAAACATTAAAAATCCTGAGAGGAGGCTGCTTTGGAAGTAAACACTCTAGAACCCACCATTCAGGGTGAGGTCGGGTGAGGTTGGTTTACTTTGCTCAGTATCCGCTGCCAACCATGCACCATTCTCATCGATCGCTGTCTGACCAGCCCTTGCAAAGACAGTCCTCAAATGAGCCTTTGCTGCAGCGGTATCTGCTCGTCGCTGCTAGCAGCTATTTTGACATTACGGGGTCTTGAATTTGAACTGCTCATCCTGTTACAGCCCCCCAATTGCCAACGTTGATCAGCCTCCCTCCAGACATCCAACCAGGTTGCTGGCATGACAAGCACACGTTCTGCTCCGTCCAGGAAAGACTTTTCTTTTTTTGTGATTGAAACGAATACCCTACCATGGTTTTGCACTTCCACGCATCCAGCAGGACTAGAGAGGAGTTGCAGGGAGGTGCTCCGCAATTTTCTCCATCTCTTGCTGTATCTGACGAACCATCTCCACCAAAATCACTTGACCAGAAGCGCACTCTTTTGGTGGCCCAGTCCCAAGTAGTACTCCAGCAGTGCCAATGACCTGGACAAGACTTACTGGGATGAGAAATGTGGGCTGCTCTCTCACAGCCCTGGGTTCTTAAATGCCTCAAACAACTTTCTGGCCCATAGTAGGGAATAAGGGAAAATACTCCCTGTATCATCCCTGTAAAACATATTCCCATATTTCCCTACTAATCCCCAGTAAGACAAAGGGTCCCTGAAAGACAGCGTGCCTTGCTGGCTGCGTTGCAGGCACCATGTGTCCGGCCTTGGAAAAGGGTGATGAGGGGGTTTAAACATTGTGTGACTGACAGCACAATCACCCCGTCCCGATCATCTCACAGGTGCAGCCACGCATACACAGCCCAGAGTGCTACAGCCTTCAAGCTGGAGTTTGGGGTTTGGGGCTGGTGTTGCCACAGTTCTGAAGTATGGGCTGCTGCAAATTACTCCCCCGAGGTAATACCAGTGCTGAATTTCAAAGGTGTTGCTCTCACACCTAATTATTTTGGATCCGCTCTATGTTGACCACCCAGCCTAACGTTTGCACTCTGAATGCTGGTGGGAATCGCCGTGCACTGTTGCGAACGTAAAGGAGGCAGAAGCGCCGGCTTTTGATGGCACGGCAAACTCGGTTCGGAATCCGGCAGTCTGGTCAAGGACCTTGGGCTTCTTAATTCCATATTGAGGTTATATTGGGATAATGGAAAAGAAAATGGAAACACCTATATTATAAGGGTTATATAATATGTAGGGAATATAGGGGTTATATTGGGATAATAAAAAAGAAAATGGAAACACCTATTTAGGGTTTGGGGTTTATCTATTTGGTTGCTGATGGGGAGCTGAAATAAAGTTACTATAGTACAGGATTTAGCGTTACCGTAATGGAGACTCAAATGGAAGATGAAATGGAGTCGGGCTCATCTATGACTCTCAGCATTCCAGCAAGTCTGGAAATAGATGAACGTTGACCTCCATGCTAACTCTCAAGAAAGCTTGCTTCTGTATGGCTGCAGCGCAGTGACTTTCCATGGAACCCAGGACTTGTTTACAATCGGCTCATATCCTTGGTGGCATGCCAACTGCTGCTGGCCAGGCATGCTGGAATGAACATGGGGGGGGATGGGCAACACGCCGAGTGTCCCAAGTCCCAAACAAACTGTTGTGACCCCAACGTGGCGCAAACTGCGTCATCGTCACCGGAATAGACCATGAGATTCAACGTGCCCTTCCTTGGCAGGTTCGAAGCATGCATGTCTGCGCGAGGTACGCAAAGCTACTGCAGGGACAAACCTGGCCTGGGTTTCAGGACACGGCAGGGCAGCAACTAATTGTCACATGCCGGAGTTTCTCAATCAAGTGCTTCCAGTACGGCATCATCGGTTGATTGAGATCCGTGGAGTTGTAGGCGCTGCCCACTGCATTTGAACACTGCGACCATTTGGTGCTTTTGGCATGAATCGCTGCCTGCACTTCTGGCAGGTTCAGGTACTTCTCGCTGTGGTCACTGGAGCATGGCCTCACTGTCCGTAGATAATGTCTGGACAAGGAGGGATGAATAACGCGGCCTCAAGTAGTTCTGCTCAGAGGTTGCAAGAACTTGCAGAATCTTAGGCCCATGACCGAGTCTTGCTTTTGCCTTGAAAGCCTAAAACCTCTCCAATCCGTGTCTCAAAAGCACTGCTAGCCAAGGTGCTGGTAGGTTGGCGGGACAATGCCCTTGGCTAAATTCAGCTTCCCCATCAGCTGGAGCCGCTCCTGTTGACCGGCAGCTTCTGCTGGATTGCCTCAGACAATCTTTGACACCAGTTTGTTTCTCACTTGTCACTTACTTGAGAGATACTACAAATTGTGAGTCTGCATGAGGAACTACCCCCTTACGGCGCAGGACTCTCAGCACAAATGAACCACATGGGCGAGGTGCAAGTTGGAAAGTCGAGCGCGTACATGTCAAAGCCAGACAAGATTTTCTCCATCTGCGCTGTGATTTCATTGCAGGTCTCTGACGAAGGGAAAGTCGTTGCGCAGCTTGCTGCCTCGTACTGCTTCCACAGCGGCGCTGGCAGGAGCTGATGCCCCCATGCAGTCCCATACTCCCCGTAGTCTCTGTACATCATGTACGTCAATGGATTGCCAAGGAAGATCCCACGAAACGTTGGCACACCATCTCACGGGCAAGGTTTCTTCAGGATACTGGGTAGCGGTTCATGCTACAGAGATGTTGAGGCCGGCGGGGATGTTTGAAGGGCGCGGAGCACGTTAGGTACTACAGCTCCTGCGTGACCCTAAGTATATGGTACCTTGGGAATCATGCTTTTTTCAAAAAATACTAAGGTTATGTAGGACTTTATTAGTATCCACCATAATGCTGCGCACTGCTAATGCTCAATGCTATCTATCCACGATGCTAATCCGAGCACTTGATTTATAAAATGGCCCATGTTTCAAGAACTTTGTTGGTAGAATCAGGCTCCAAAGACTAGCTACAATTGGGTGGCTTTTCGTATGGGGAAAAGGGACAACATGTCAAGAATTTTTTGTTGGGGAACCCATGCTGACAATAGAGATTCAATACATTCTTATTCGTTCTTTAATTAATAGAGGTCACATAACCCCAATGACCCAGGAATGATTTTCTTTTGGATTCTTAATAGCGTTTCAATACGTTCCTATTCACTTTGAAATAGAGGTCCAGGAGCCCCGATGATCGAAGAAGGACTTCCCTTTAATCTGGCGCCCCTCATTCCTTATTCTAGCGGGGGGGCTGGGGCGGGCCCCCCACAAATCAATCAAGTGTTCGGATTAATCGCAAGAAACTATGGGATATGATTCCTGGTCAGAACTTGAAGCTTTGCGGGCTAGGTCTACAATGAAACAAATGCGTCAAAACCCAACGGGTCACCTCGGTCGGCAAGCAGCTTCCCCAGCGTGGGCGTGTAATGACCCCCGTACGACTCCGAGGAAATGTAAAAGTCATTCTTCTTGTACTCCGGAAAGCGGTCCAGAAACCCAAGAATAAACTTGTAGTTGTCTTCTGCTGCCTGCTGGTCGCCATACACGGCATCAGGGTTTGCTGTGGAGAAACCCACGCCCACAGGCTGCTCAATGAAAACCATATTGACGACCTGGCTGGGTAGGCAGATACATATGGTTTAGGTGTTGGGGAATTCTGGAGGATCAAACAGAAAAGAGCAAGGAAGCTGGGATGATGTAGGGGTTTGGATCTTTTGGTGGCTACGTACATATATTGTGGAACGCTAATGTGATCTACAATGCTACCGACAGGAGACTGTAGGATATGACCTGGTGATGTCGTCGGTTTTTCCCCGACCTAGCCACCTTGTTCCAGGCGTAGTTGTTGAGAACCAAAGTCTCTCCATCTGCTCGGACGCGGAAAGGCCCTTGCTCTGTCATGAATCCTGCTAATCCACTGCACCCAGGGCCACCATTCGTCCAGAGAAACAGAGGAGCGTTTGCAGGATCAGTCTGTGACTCCACGAACCAATAGAACGTTTGACCTGCCAGATGCAGCTGGCGCTGTTAAACACCCCCACCCCCCTAACATCAAATATTTCCTTCGTAGTATATAATACAATGCATGGGGAATATTGCATATTAGGGGCGGTGGGGGGTTAATGTTCGGAGGGGGATTATGAGCACTTCACAGAAGTCATACCCCCACGTGATGTAATTCTTGTGACAGTGATGACAGCCCACAAGGAACCCGTCATGTTAAGTGGAAGCCTTCTACCCGTCTTGGCGCCTGAATCTTGGAGCTTCCAGACACTGGGGGTCCCGTGGATGCTTGAATGTAGGCATTTATCAGAACTCCCGTGTCCAAAACCCTAAACCTCAGTAACTGATGCAGGTGAGACGTTGGAAAGTCCTGCCTTTGGATTGAAGACGACTTTCTGTTCTCTACAAGATAGAACATCCGGGCTTCAACAAATTGAAAGTCCCATCCAGGGTCTTTTCATGTTGAAGCAGAATTTGCGCGTGTAAGGGCGCCATAACTTCTACAAATATGCGCCACTTTTGCATCGCAAAAGCGTCATCTGTGATAATATTCTTACTGCGGGCTAGAGGCGCACGCTGCGGAACACCTAGGCTAGTCAGCTAGAGATGAGAAACTAACATTGCTTAGAATGATTGGTCTCAAAATTTGCCAGCCTTGGTTCACGTCGATGTACCCTGAGAACATGCGAAACTGCACAGCCGGAGCGCCGGGCAGTTTAGTGATCTCATCCTGGACCGATGGCGCAGCTATCTGTCATCTGCCTTCTTAGCTTACAAGTGTTCAGTATGTCGTTTTAGCCACTTCCGTCAAGTCTTAAGATTTAAACCTACTGCTTGCCCACTATGCGTTTGAGATTTTTGATCTGCGAAGAAAACCTACTGGCTGCTGCTGAGCATAGGGAATGAATGAATGGCAAAAACAGTGGGGAAACTCCAGTAGTGTCTTTCTTCGGAGTTCTAGCCTGACAGTCCTGCAAAGCCTGCGGTCCATAAGCGACTGCCAAGGCAGCCAAGTTCAGGAGAGCCGCGCCAACCGCAGCTTTCATGGCTGCACAAGAACTGCGAGCCTGCCTACGTCGCCGCTGGTCTTCCCATACGCTAACTAGTATAGGCCTAGAGCCAAAAACGACGAAAAGAGCCAAGTCCACGCGCCAGGCACGCGATTTGACTGATATGGCCCAAGATGCTGGGAGAGGCTACAAAACAATCTTCTGCTCATTACGCGGGGTGTCCAGGACAGGAAAGTCTGCACAAATCTACACAGCATCAGCTGCGTCACTCAATCACGCACGTGAGTGTCTAGAATCTTTATAAGAAGAATTGCGGTATTTCGGGATTGATTAAAATTGGGCACTCCATTTTATGGACATCTCTGTATTTTTCGGTTGCTGAACAACTCTGGAGGCTGTGCCACACTAGCTACGCACGGGATCAGACACAGCAGCAGAGCTCCCGCAAAGCCTCAGGTTGCTTGCGTGCCAACATCAGGAAAGTGGCGATTTGGTAAGGCCCGCACACGCCAGAAGCCTGCGGCCTGCAGCAAGCTGCACAGAGTGCAAGATATGTATAGTGGCTAGTTTAGGCATTGTTCAGGCTGCTTCTTTTTTCGGGCGTCCCAAACAGCAGGACCTGTGGGAGGAGACTGAGAGGCGGCCTACGCCGATTCTAAAGCTATGCTCTCAATACCCACGTGGAGCAAAACCGCAGAATATTTCATGATGACAACCTGCTATGAACCAAGCACCGCAACAGCTTTGCCAAGCTTCAGGTCAAGTGCTGTCGAACCAGTATCTGGCACATGCAGTCCCCTGTTTGACAGTGCTTGCACGCTCAGCCGTCGAGAATCTCCATAAAGGCTGGCCTCTGCACGTGGGGTGAGACTCTCAGATGGCACCTGTCAAAGCCATAGTGGCTTTGGCTCGGACACACGTGGAGCGATTGCCACACATGCTATCAGCATGGTACGAAGCAACCTACGGACATACCCCGACTGCTACCATTGATGCTGCTACAGTTTGTATCACACTGAAGAATCTTCGCACACCTATCAGGCCTATCATCGCTACTGTGAATGTCAGGGTTTTGTTCCGGACGCGGCTAGTACTAACGCATGTTCGTTCAAGCATGCTTCAGCTCACGCCACAGGCATTCCTCCTTGTGCCTCAAATGGCGCCACCGGAGCCACAGGATCTTTGTCCTTTCCATGTGGAGCAGAAATTTCGAAAATGATTGACATGACGGCTTGTAATGACACCACACTCTGCAACATATGAGTGCATCATTTGTCCGCTCACTTCAACTACACCCACTGCAAGCTACATGGCTCCAGCCAGGCCCCTAGAAGCCTAGAAGCCTTCCAATGGCTGGAGATGAAGCTCACACTGACTGAAGTGAGTTGACATAAGTCTAAGTGGCGAGTTTGGGGTTTAGGTATAAGTTTGGGATCAACATGATTACATTTGGCTTGAAAGCACAAAGGGACTTTACATATGCCCCCCGTATCCTCCAGGAGATCTCCATACTCTTCTCATAATCCCTGCGTATCAAGGGTCTCCAAAGATACCCCGAGAAACCCCCAAGCCTCCGGCAATGGACTGGAGCCTCTGAACAGCAGAAGCTTGGGTGCAGAGCAGGGTATGCATGGGCGGCCTGGTGTTGACTGAGCACAACGGATTATGACAATTGACTATGATTGACTATGTGGGGCTTGTAACTGGGTTCAAACAAATGACAGCTGCAAGAACGTCACGCTTGCCTGGCCCCTCTGCATTTTCTGTTGCCGAGCGAGGGGCTGGCACCTGACAGGTCCAACTGGATCCTGAAGTCAACCCCTGTTTCGCTTTTAGGCTGCTTATCTCGCTGCAGCCTTCCCACACAACGAAAAACCAAAATCACCTCATCACACATTGCAACTTCAGCTAGGTTTACAACAGATATCTCTCTCGAACTTTAGTCAGGGCTGCATCTTGCAAAACAAAACGTTCATCAGCAGTGCTCCGAGACCTGGCACATCCTTGCAGAAATGCACTTGAAGCCAGCCTGGGTTTCTTGGACGCGCTCGCTCTCTTCTGTGATCTCGCCCGTTGCAAGTTCTGAATCCGCGTCCTCCACATTCCCACGAGCCATAAGCAACAAGATGCCGGCAACAGTGGCTACATGCACCCTGCCAAGCCTCACAAGCGTGCGTCCTTCCCAACAGCACCTGCGGAGAAGCACAACAAAGCACGTAGTGTCTTGCGAGCTCCCCCCAACACAATTGTGACCAATGATGGTGATATACACCTCCAACCGCCACCGCCCCCACCACCACCAACACCACCAACAACAACAACAACAACAACACCAACAACACCAACAACAACACTAACACCAACACCAACACCAACACCAACCACCAACCACCAACCACCACGTTGCCGCCGCCGGCGACTATGACTGTGACTATGCCTACTACTCTACGCCTACCACTACGACTGCGACGAGGACGAGGACGAGGACGAGGACGAGGGAGAGGACGACGACGACGAGGACGAGGAAGAGGACGATGACGACGACGACGACGACGACGACGACGACGACGACTACTACTACTACTGCTCCTTCTCCTAATATCATCCTCGAAATGATGCCCTCCTCGTCCTTGCCCTAACTTTGGTTGCTGTAGTCGTAGTCATAGTCATTGCTTCTGTAGCAGTGACCAGAACCCAAAGTGTGAAAAAACAACCATAGCTGCGCAGCAATCCCCTCCCTACTCGTAAATGACCCCTGCAGCATAACAAGTTGGGAAGCTTCAAACTGTAGGAAATCCCCAAAAAGTGGGTGCAATTATGGCGTAGTCTGCTTTCTGCGCCTCAGACCTTTGACCTTAGCACTGGTATCTGAGGGGGCATCACGAGGCTTTGAAGAATTGACTTCAGGTCCTGGAGGGGTCATCAAATGGTAGATGTTCAGGTTCCTGCTATCGTCACAATGTAGCCGTGCGCTAGCAACCAACACCTGGCTCCAGATCCCTTCCTCGCAATAATATACACACTCTCCCTACTCCTGACTAGGCTAGCCCGAATGTATTGAGGGGAATATCTTATATTCAACACTGGACAAATTCGTAACTGCTGCCGTCGCAGCAGGAGTATAAACCGGAACTTGCAGCAGTCGTGGGGGTGGTATGCACGTAATGCTTGCAGGTCGTACTTGTAGTTGCTGTGATTGAGTCTTGACAACTTTGGGTGAAAAACAACATGAGAAGTGCGTCTCTTCATACGCATGGCACTTATAGACAATTACAGACCCCTTAGCCTTAGCCGAGTCTACAGCCCAAACTCCATGACTCATGTTGTTGTGGAGAATTTGTACAGCTCGCCAAGGCCTACCCTCGACAATCTGCAAAACCATTAGAGTAGAGGTAGACCAACAGTAACGTGTGGTGGAAGGTGAATTCTGCAGCCACCTGTCAAATGAGCGTGTTCATGAATAATTTGCTCAGCTGCGTCTGCTTCTGCAGTTGTTTTTGGCATGCTACTCCACACCGCCTCATGCAGCAAATCCAGGGCAGCCCTTATGCGCTTATGGAATTTATGGAATTCCCAGGTCAGCTCGATTGCGGGGCCTCCGCAGTTGTGCGGCGCTGGGCCTCTGCTATGCTGGAACAGGCTACATAGCTTGAAAGCAGCACAGACCTGTCCAAGCATCTGGCTGCACAAGCTAATCCACGGCCTTGGGCATACCGGCGCCCAGAGCCGAACCCAGGTGGTTGACAACTCTAGGTGCTATGAAAGATTTAGGGTTCGGAGGGTAAACTGCTGCAGAGCTGGTAAGCAGCACCCATGCTAAATGCAATCAGTCGATGCCAGTCTTGCGCGCAGAATGCTCAATGCCCTGCAGCTAGCAAAATTAGGGACCACACGTTGAAAAAGGCCGCAGCCTTGCGATCCTGCTGCAAGATATCATGGAAGATGGGCTTGTGTTCGCAGAGGAGGAAATGGGTAACCAGAATTCAATTTGCAGGAATGCTAAGTTTCTCGGCCAAGGGCCAGAGGTGCACATCTGTCCGCTCTTGACATACTATCGGGAAGTCCGGCTTAGCTGTTTGAATGCGACAACTACACAAGTAAAAGCAGACGCCCGGCCTTTTCAGAGCGCAGGGGCTTCTTCTTGCCCATGGCATCCAAGAAAAGTCGGTGCGGAGATGTTTGGAACGCGGCTCTCGACTATTGGTCAATGCTAGGATCATGGCTCTGAGAGAGGGCATGGTCTGGATTCATGCCCACACGTGACCGTTGAAGGCTGGAGCCATTCCATGAAGACATGACCATCCGCAAACAGTCCCAGGAATTCTATTTTGACCTCATGTAAAGCACGATGGTTGGGTCAGAAGGATGCAAGTCTGCATTGGGATGCATTTGCGTGTTCGCGAGCACAGGCACAATTAGAGCTCTAAGACCACACTCATAATTTGGAAGGTGATTCTGACAAAGCTCAACCCCCATCTTCATCGGGTATCCCTCCGAAGGCAGTTTCTGTACCAAGAACTCTAGCATCCTGCTTTATCTCTTCCGTCCAGAAGTGTCAGACTACATTCCTTGTTGGTCAGACGCTGATGTAACATCTGGAAAAGATCTCGAGGGCCAGAGAACATGTCATCAAGATTCGTCAGGCACAAGCTGGTGGCAATGTGTGGCCTGAGGATACATTGCATCAGAACGGACTTTGGCCTCTGACAGTAGGTACACAGGCAAAGCAACTGACATTTTCTCGGCACGGTTAGTGACAGCTGGTGGAAAACCACAGCTTTTCTACTTATGCTCCTTGAGCTCACAGAGAAGCATCATTATCACCGCGCGGATGGGCCGTATGGGAGAAGACATCTTGTTCAGATTTATCCCGAAAAATGCATATGGCAACTAATTGCTGAATTGAGCTGGTTCGTTGTGGTCTAGAGGCGCTAAACCCTAAACCCTAAACCTTAAGCCCTAAATCCTTAGGTTACAGTTCCAAGCATGTCTTGCTGAAAAGGTTAGACACAAGCCAACTTGCCATGTCTGGGTTC